ACTTATTGGACTTATTAGCAGCAGAGCCTGTAGGTGAACGTTAATGATCGCATTATCTAGAAGGATCTCCGATACAATACTGTTTATAAGCGGGGAACATCACCGTATCTCGCGCCAGTTAAAAGATAATGCGCGCGTAGTCTCCTAATAACATTTGCATATCTTAATGCGAGCCCGCGGCGCTCTCCGCCCGGCGCCGGCCGCGGCCGATACTCCAAGCTGAACACAATACTTGCTGCCTAGCGGTCGTATCGACACAATCACACAGCTTTACAAACAAATCATTAATCTACTCCCACATTACAGGCTAGTTTTAATAATGGTAGGAATGTATCGGCTGCGGTGCACAGCATTCAGACGAGTGAAACATAGCAACGTTGTTGTGTATTGATCAAAAGAATTTGCACAAAAACTGTACATCGGGAAATTCGCGGAGACATCAAAGGATGGGCATTCACGTCGCGCACAATAGTGGCGTGCGCATGCACGTGAATAGGGCGCGCGGCGAGCGGGGCGCTCGCGTTCCTATAAAATTCAAAAATGGAAGTATGGAAGAAAGCTCGCGTCCTACCTACATTCTGAGAGTTTTGTCCCGGCACAATGGCACCACTCTGTATAGGAATTCGTTCTAGTTTATTACGGAATACATGGCTTGTAAATCTTTTGTTGACATATTTATATATGCTCCGCTGCAATTGTTCGGAGACTTTATTGTATTGCTATTTACTATACTGATTTATGTTAAAACATGAATGTGGCAATGTATTGCTGCAGGTTATGTCAATTTGTATTAGTTATACACCTTAGTAGCTTCATAATCATATATGATTATGTAAACACCTCCTTACTGCAGCGCTAGTAGTTCTCCATGTAGGCTCGACATTTTCACTCATAAAACTACTTCTAACCTATCAGTGTGTGGGTAAACCTATCAGTACTAATAATAATTAGTTTTTGCTTTTTTGTTTTTATTTTATCTTTTTGGTTTTTTCGAGTCGGATTTATAAACGCTGCTTTTATTTTTTAGCTGGTTTAAAACACCTATTTAAAATATTAACAAATGCACTAGTTGTCCCTATAACGTTCAAAACTTTCCCTCTAATTCCCTGGGATCCCATCATCAGATCCTAACTTGGTGACAATGGGACCACCTCAGAAGGGTAACCTTTTTGAAGAAAAGTAATCGGTAAACATACATATACCTATAAACAAAAAAAAACAACAATCATCCTCCTTTTTTGAAGCCGTTAAAAATATTAAAAACACAATAATAGGAACTCACAGAGCACTCACACCATACCTAATATAATGATACAAAATAGTACGTCGGTATCGAATACACAATGAAATTAATGTAATGAAACTATTTTGTCCTTAGTCCGAACATTACACAAACAACCAGATATTTAGAAGCACTAAACACATTGTATTAAAACACTGAATTATTAGTTACATAGATAAATTACTAGTGTGGGATAGACATGCTTCGGCACGAATGGGCAGGCTCGACCGGAGTCATAGTCAGCCACAGCCGAGCAGAAAACCGACGTGAAATAACGCTTGCATTGTGTTTCGTCCTATCAGTGAGGTTACCGGAGACCCAATTGCCCCCTTCCCCAATCCCTGAATCCCAACAATCCTCTAATTCCTAATCCTCAAAAGGCTGGTAACGCACTTGTAGATAGCCTCTGGTGTTCCAACCAAATGTCCATGGGCGACGCCGATTACTTACCCATCAGGTGATCCGCTCATTTACTGGTTTATCCCAAAATTATAGACTAAACTTTTGTATGAAAAAATTATAGAATAAATTAAAATAAATAAGTTTTATTAACTAGGTTTTCATGTATAGTGATAGGTAACAGATAATAGGTTGAAATGGGTATTGTTTTTATTTTTAATCACATTTTTCGTACAATAAGTATGCCAGGTGTTGAAAGTAGGTAGGTACTTAAGTACTTACTTTTCTATAAATGTAGGACGAATTAATTCGAGGAAATGAAGTTTTGATTTGGTACTCGGGACTCTCGTTGTGAACGTAATACATTGCGCGATCGTTTGGGTGTCAAATTTACAAAATTTATTTTTTATAAAATACTAGAAAATATTAAAATAAATTATATTATTATCAAATAAATAAATGAAGGTTTCTTTTTTTTAAATACATATTTGTAAAGTGGAACCGCCCCAATTGTTTTTGTGAAATTGCATCTTTGTAAACGCATACACCACACCGCGACATAAGAAATACGTAGAAGATGACCACGTTTCTATAAAAGAAAAATAAATCATGAATTGTCGTGCCTCCTCGTCGAGTACCGGTTTTATAGACACAATTAAAGAACAATAGGTCGCGGTCACCGGTGACCGCTTTTTTTTTTTTTTTTAAGGGGGGAAAATCATCGAATGACTGCTCCCGCCCGGGTGAGGCGGAAGGGAGTGTCAGACTCTTACTGACTAAAAACCACCCCGTTCCTTCTCCTGCACGTCGAGCCGGAGCCCCGGTTACCCGTTAGGTTCTCCGCGACTCCGAATCGGCATCGGCCCTATTGGGCCCCATCTGTGGTGGTCTGATGGCTCTTTGAGGCGCGCGCGGAACGCGACGCGCCGTACGCTCGGGTCTGTTTCTGGTCGGACGGGGAGCCACCCATGCTCGCCGTCCGCAGGCCCGCGCTTACGGTGGCCGGAGATCGTCCCGCGATCCCCGACGCCCGGTGTGTCCTTCGCGATGGCTGGGTTGCGAGGAGGCAGCGCTTCGCTGCCTCACGCGTCCCGCCTCCTCCTTAGCCAGCATGACTGCTTCGCAAAAGGAGGAGACGGCATCCCAGTCCCCCTCGCTCCGCATCATGGCCTGAACTAGGCCCGGACGCGAGAGGTCTCCATCGCCGATCACTTCCCTGAGGGCACGGCGGTGCTCAGCCCACGCAGGGCATTCCGCAACACCGGTGACCGCTTGGTGTTTGACAGTTTAAAACGCAAAAAGCGAAACGTTGCATCTTGTGCTCCGGTAAAAATTCCTTTTTACAGTATTTAAAAGTTTAATTGTGTTTAGTGCCATCTATCCAGTGTAACAGAAACTAATACATTGCATGCTTTTCCTAACGCGAGAGAGACAGACTGACAGAGCTCAAAAGAGGACAATTCTCTACTAGAAAGTATAGTCCTCAGACTAATTTGAAATGTTTTATTATGAAATTGATTGGTAAACGAAGACGACTCATTTGGTAGTAAGCAATCGTTGCCAAAACACTGGAGGAGTTACAAGTACGTTGCCCTACGCACATCCTTGTAACGAAATTGAGAATCAATGATTATGAAATGACTGTAAAAAAAAGTAAAAATAATTCTTCATGCCCACACAATATAATATGCGTTACGGTCGTTTCAAAATATCCCCAAATACCTAATGGTGGTATTAGGTAATTAATTAGGTATCGATTTTTACTGTGATTGGCACACGTAAGCGGTTGGAGCTCAAATATCAATTTATTTATGATATTATAATAGGGTAGATGACTAATTTTTATTTTAATGGTAGATTATTTTAAAACATTACACACGTATTTTTTATTTTTTTACAGAAACGAATACTTTTGACTATATATAGATTTGAAATGTCGCGTGACGTCACTTCTATGTAGGTACATTTTATACGTAGAAATGACGTTTAAGCCCCCACTCCTAAACTTTGATTCGTTATATCTAAATATCATTTTATTATACAACAAAATAAAAAATACGTGTCTAATATTTTTTCATTACATAACTAACGGACCAATTCGATTTTTAATTTTCATACATAAGGGTTACCCTTTACCTACAAGAATCTATAGGAATCAGTAGGCAGAGGTGAAAACGATTGAACAGCTGTGTGGCACAAGTTGAGAACCAAAAATCTTAACTGGGTCAAACTGGGACGGTGAGCAAAAGCACTAAACTAAAATAAAACAATTGATACATAATTTTGAACATTTTATTTTGTCATAAATCACCTAGAAGAGTACAAGCAGAGTAAACTTAAAACTATCAATTACAACATGAATTACTTTAATGCAAAACATTTTCGATCATTATAACGAAAATAATAAAACAGGAACATGGTTTATCAAACATGTTTTTGGAATGGAACCAAAAGGTGAGATCCTAAGGTAAAATGTTGGTAGGTATATTTAATCTGTGCTTACCGCAAGATACGACGTGCCCACATAATTATTATTTCTATCCTTATTTATGTAATATTCTTATATCTAACATCTTACACTCTATTATTCTTGAACAGCATCAAATATTTAACTAAATTAACTAAAACTATAATTATGATAATATAATTTATGCAATCGACTAAACCAAGGTGTCGAAAAAGTTACTAAAGACTAAGAAGTCAAACATCACTTTATAATGTGCTTCGAATAAAAACTAAATAGGTTTTCCCTTCCTCTTACACTCCGATAGGGAAATACGATTTAGTCTGCCCTTTTCGGTTTAAAGAAAATTATCATTACTTTTAACTAAAACTCCAAATAGGATAGGCAACACATCATATGGCTTCTCCATGATAATGAATGAACGCCAGTTTTTGACTAGTGGCATACATACTTAACATGCTTGCCTTTATTTTGTCGTTAGTTCAAACTTAAATTTCGATTTACACACTCTTCCCATTCAATGTGCGTAACATTTCTCAAACACTTACCTAAGATTCTATTTTTGGAAGGGAACTACAATATCACAAAATGTATAAACTAAAAATACTGTCCGTAACTATTGCTGTTATTCCATATCGAATAACATTCAAATGAGAGAAAGCTTAAAACTAAATTTAAAAACTGACGAAATCAACTGACAAAGTTGTGTACAAGTATTAATTGTGTTTCGACATCCACACAATTATTTTTCAGTACTAACGTGAACTGATGACAGGTGACAGGTGACAGATGACACAATGCCAGATGTCACTCCGCGCGCTATAAGCCCCGCGCAGTGAGTGGTGCGCCGCGCCCCTAGTCGGCGCGCTTGTGGTCCTGCTCGTACTGCAGCAGCTCGGCGAGGTTACTGATCTCTATCTCCTGCACGCCGTTGCCGGCAAAGTGCATGTAGTCGTGAGGAGGGGCATCAGCTGACCGTTTGCGGACTGTAATCAGAACACGATTCAGTTTAGAAGGAAGTCAAAGAATTTTTTTTTTTTCAGTGGGTAGTTAGGCACTTGACATATCTTGTATGAAATACCTTGACGTTATAATAAAAAAGTTTAGAAGCTAATTAAGTATAACGGAGGTATCTTAATGCTGCGAAACATAGAATAGATGACGATATCTATTAGAGGTATAAGAATAGTGTGATACTTACTGACGACAGCGACTTCCCTGGTGAGTGGGTAGATGGGTCTGTCGGTGCAGAGTTGTCCGAGGTGTCGCGGCGCGGGGCGCGGCGGCAACATCGCCCGCAGCGGGGTGCGCACGCGGCTGACGTCGAAGTCTGCGCCGGCCGCCAGCCCCGCCGCCAGCTCGCTCGGGGACACCACCACCGCCGGGTCCATGTCCATCATGAAGCAACGGTCCGAGTCCACGATACCTGAGTACGACCACACACTCATTTAAAACGAGTTATCGACACTCAAAACTATATGAGCACGAAAAGTTAATAGAATTTATTTACTCGTTTATAATCGGCTCTCTTAAAGCCAAAACGTAAACGTATACGTATATTCGCTTAGTGTGTAGCAGTAATCGATTATTGAGAGCTGAAGACTAAGCTCAGTTGCAGGACAAAGGACTAGCATCGGTCGGAAACTTGGTTCGTATATTGACAAAGGTTTTCTTGACACTTACCAGTAATATTAGCCTCGAAGTCATGCAGGAAGCTGACGGGGTGGCCGTTGTTGAAGACTGATATCTTCTCCACCGACTGCTCGATGTCGATGTCGAACACCTCCCGCAGCATGTCCAGCAAGTGATCCGGATCATCGTCCTCCGTAACGCTCACCACCTGGTTGAGTTTTATATTTAAGTAAGTAAAGTTAGGATTCAACTTCTTATTTTTTACAACTTAATACTTTGTTCTGCGCGTGTTTTTCGTAATTATTTACACTTGTGGATAAGAACTTGGTGAAACTTCAAACTGGTTATTGAAAAGAAACTGACAAGAACCCCCAGATGGAGACATTTCAGTGACTAAGATCAACTCCCTCCGAGTCACTGAGCCAATGGAGCGCGTATAAGAAAATAAGAATCACACATAAACGTATACGTGGCCGCAAGACGACAAACGAAAAGATTGATCACCTAATCAATCCAGAGGTGTATAAGTGTAGTATCGGTATTTTGAGATTTGAAGATTGGGGTCTTAATTTAGGGAATTAAAGATTGGGGACTGGGGATGGCGAAGTAGTTAGAGACTGTAAGATAAAATGGTATCAAAATCAAAAAGGAAAAATAAATATATGTACCTATTGCATTTTATTTTATTTAATCTGTCAAACACCAAGCGGTCACCGGTGACCGCGACCTATTGTTCTTTAATTGTGTCTATAAAACCGGTACTCGACGAGTTAAAACGGTTGCGGGTTGCGGATGATGTTATGAAATTATTATTGTTTAAAGCGATCCAGGCAAACCAACATACGTGATACCTAATAAATTTCCTCATTGCTACAGGAAAAATGTAATATTAATACACATAGCCACATGGGAGGCAATGTTTATTGATTTGTTACAGGTACTGACTTGAATAGTGGTCCCAAGATTGGCAGTCTTCCAGTGAAGTGGCATCCTGTGGGACTCCATCATTTCCATGTCCTGAAACAGAAAAAGCACCATTACATGAAATTGAACAAGTTGTAGGTACCTTCATTCGAAACGTCAAAACTAAACCTATGCCAATGGACCTCGATTTACACGTAATAAGCACACTCCGTAGCGATTTTCAATATTCCATAACTTCATATTTTTAGCTACTAATTGCCACCCAGCACCGTCAAATCAGTCTCTAGTTTAGCAAGCCCTTAAGGAACTTGTTTTGATACATTACAAATCTCGCTACTTAATAATATTTGACGATAATAAAATAATAAACTTCTATCGTCTAATTGAGGTGCAGGGTCTCTATTAGAGGTCGGAGTCAAGTGGGCGCGGGCGGGTCAATAATACCCAGACAAGCGGCGTTTGATATAATGTTATTATGTTTCACCGGCCTTTTACGATTGCAAGGACGGTCACATTTGTTGGAATGTAATCGATACGATACGAGTATGGATAGGGAAACATCCGATCGTATCATGGGGCATGTTTTATCCTGCTATCCTATGTATAATTAGTCTGTAGGCCCTGTGTTATTTATACGCATTTAAAACACCATTTTTTCCTGCTAATAGTGGGGTCAGTGTCGACCTGTTGACTAGGTGAACATTCGATATACGCAGTCTAATCTGTATGTATGACCAGGGCCTCTAGCCAAAAGCCACTTTAGCGCTTGTCTACAGTGAGAGTAGAAATCAAAATGTATGGGGATGACACTGACAAGTGTCAAAATTTACGTCAATTCCATATAATTTGGTTTTCTATTCTACATGTAGACAAGCGCTAAATGGCATTTGGCTACAGCTGCAGATTAGACTGCGTGTAATAAATAACACTCAGTGACGGCTGGCGAACTTCAGTTTTGATGAAATGCTATCGTATCCAAAAGAGAATTTGACACCGTATAATCGATTCCAGAATTGCTATTGCTGACAATTGTTTGTCAATTGAATTTCTTGTTTTGATAGTTACTATTATTACAATCATTTTTATTATACTACTGAACTGATTATTAGACGCAAATATTTGAAAAGGGAGATGATTTAGATACGCGCTTATACTGAACCTATACAGAGTATTAACTGTAGCAGCTAAATCAGGATCTAGCTCATTCAACTTATTCTATTAAGATGAAAGGGGTCTAGTCTAGCTCTATATTCAACTGCTCGCAAATAGCCACGTATGCCGCACCGCGCAGGGTCGGCACTGTGACCTAGTTTCTACATGTTCTTTAATTATTTCATCAATAAATATTCCACTTTTGGATGGAATTGAAATAGTTCTTTTATATGGTTACTCCCTCTCTCCTCCCTTATAAATATTGTTAGCCCTATAAGTTATATTACAATGATCTAATTTGTGCTTCTTTTCGTGACCCTTAACTTGGTTTCTGTAAGGATAAAAACCTATAAAAGTAAATACGTACCCCGTTCAGAGGAATGGAGCAGAAGCCCTGAATGCGGTTACGCTGGATTACATCAGAGTTAACTTGTTCGTAAATCTGCAGGGCTGTGATGACTCCCATAAGAACGAGGAGAAACACCGTTATACCCATGCAGAGGATAGCTCCCAAGCTATGGTGACGCTTGCGAGGTCCTGCCGGCTGCATCTCAATGATTTCCTGAGAAATAAAAACATATCTTGTTACATGCCGAACTTATAAATCATTATTAAATAAATTCTTTACGTGTAAACAGTTTTACACGTAAAGAATTTTTGAGTAAATAACTCAAAAATTTCGTCGTTTTGTCATTACAATATTAAAAAATCGATAATTTCCATGTTCGTGATTAATCATCGCCAGTCATGATTGTAGAGGTATACTAGAGGTATACAGGTGGTGCGGTAATCCAAGAATATCTGTTACTGGTGTGTTACTGTTAGTCATTTTTGGGCACAGGAGTCTAAAAAAATTAGACTCCTGTGTCCAAAAATGACCAACAGCTCTTAAAAGTCCGCTGTGAGTTATCCATTCCTCACATAAAGCCGTATCATCCCTAAGGCAAACTAGGCAAGAGCTTAGGGCGCCACATTACAGAGGGTCGCCGAGAGACGCACGTATCCAACTGCACGTAAAGTGGTGATAGCGCAAAAAAAAAATTACTGGCGCCTATGACATGCTTGCCTAGAGCGCTCCGGAGCAGGTCTCTTCAGAGGACCCAGTGCCCCTTACAGGTGCTGAGGGTTGCCACCGGGGTGGTTTTAGTGAGGTTCGAATCCCACACTCCCTAGTCTTTCTCCCCAAAAAGCTTTTGAAGGTTTCCGCCCGACATAAAAAAAGGGCGCTCTTTAAGGTTTAATCCGCCTCTGGCCATACATCAGAATTTTTTAACTATTTTACTTAATAACATTGTCGTGACCACAGTAAAGTACTCCTGTCACTACCCTGACTCTTCCAGAGGATGTCGTACAAGACGACTAATAGTTAGGACTACTTACTCAAGCCCGCTCGCCAAACATACCTAAACTAATACTGTTGCCTGCATGTTCATAATATTGATCGTGATATTTTTAGCTACAAAACCTTACATAGTGAACCAGAAATCAATACGTGCATCGAAGTCGTATCAGACAATTAATTTCATAGAATAAGGCGGTAGGTAGGTACGCACATCTGCAGTTATATTTACTATGCAGATTAAAATTTATCATACACCGACATTTTGTTATATAAAAAATTAATTCAAACCTAATCGTGTCGCTAAATATGGTTAAATTTTAATTAATTAAAAAAAAGAAATTATGTACGAATTTTAAATATAATATTTATTTTAATACATACCCCATCGCAATGGCTGTCGTCTATTAACGGGATTTTTTTAATAGTAAGACTTGGCTTGGTCAACACTGTCATCTTGCAAGATTTACTAATCCAATACAGATAACTGTTTTTAAATTAATATTTTAACAACAAACTGAAACACTCCTGTTTTGACTGCAACAAATGCGGAAGTGCGTAGGAAAGAAAATTCATCAATAACTCGAGAAATTGTTACCAGCTACAAATAATAAAAATTACTAGATTTTTTATAATGGCAACATGTTATTCCAATTTTATGTAGTCGATTCAACCGATTTGATTCAAGTTATTTTATTTTCTAGTTTGACGTTTGCAACATTGAGTCTATGAAATTGTCTATGTCGAGTTCCTCTTTGGTCAGTACAACCGAAAAAAAAGAAGAAATTCGAGGAGGAAACGGACGATTAGTTTCGTGTTGTAGAATATTCTGTGTTAAAAAGAGGTTAATGAATCAGCAACGTTAATAGTGCCGTTAAAACATGTTTGATTAGTTTTCTTCATCATTATTTTATGTTGAATCTTTGTTTCATTGTGTAATTACCACGTTAGTAACGAGACTGCGAGCACAAAAATAAAATGGCGACTGATCAAGTGAAGAACCGCATGCATGTTTTCAAGAACACTGGCAAAGATGTCGACGTAAGTACAAAAATGTAGTTCATTGCCTCCAAGATCATATCAAAAACCGAAAAAGTTCGACAAAGTAATGACGTTTGATTTCGTGTGTAATTTTAGGAAATGCGCAGGCGGAGGAACGAAGTTACAGTAGAACTGAGAAAAAATAAAAGAGAAGAAACACTACAAAAACGTCGTAATGTGCCTATCAGCTACTCTACAGACGAGGATGAGATCGAGAGGACCCTTGCATCCACGGACCTCAAGGAGCTGGTAATGAATGCGGCGAACGGAGACAACCCTGATGTGCAGCTGGCGGCCGTGCAGCAGTGCAGGAAGCTTCTCTCGTCAGACAAGAACCCACCCATTGATGAGCTGATTGCTACTGGAATTCTCCCTATCCTTGTGCAGTGCCTCTCAAGGGCTGACAATCCCTCACTCCAGTTCGAAACCGCTTGGGCCTTAACGAATATCGCATCAGGCACCTCCGCTCAGACAAACAAAGTTGTACATGCTGGTGCTGTCCCTGTCTTCCTTCAGTTGCTCATGTCTCCTCATGAGAATGTTTGTGAACAAGCTGTCTGGGCCCTGGGTAACATCATTGGAGATGGTCCCGTGCTCCGAGACTTTGTTATTGAAATGGGTGTAGTTAAGCCACTGTTGAGTTTCATCAAGCCTGATATCCAAATTTCATTTCTCCGTAATGTGACCTGGGTCATCGTCAACCTATGCAGGAGTAAGGACCCACCACCACCTGTCAAAACTATCCAAGAAATTCTTCCTGCACTTAACTTCCTTATCACTCACAATGACAACAATGTAAGTACATCTATTTCTTTATTTAGTATCTAGCTAAGACATACAGGCCATTGAACTACAAAGGCAAAAATACCATGCATGGTATTTTTGACCCAGTAACTCCATTCATTGCTGCTGAGCAATAAACTGAGTTATTAGGTCAAACTTCTGTTATTGTTTGATCAATATTTTATTTCCTGAATTACTGTTTTAATATTGTAGAAGATATAAATAAATCAACACAATCATAGTGTATGAACCAACCATTTAATTGATCTATTATGAAGTCTAGTTAGTCTTTGGTGGCAACCATTAAGAGTTGTCCTAAATTAGCATTTGTAACAAAGGCAAATTTAAAGTATTTTGTTCATTTCAATGGTTTTATCTTTGACCACAATATTGATAAAAACAAACTTATCTCTTTGTATAATCTGTGGCACCTAAATTGATAAAAATGATGTGTTAATTTTGTCCTGTCTTCTTAACTTTTATAACTACCTGAATATCACACAATCATTGCTATTTTAATGTTTACCACTAAATACTATTTGCCTAAATGTATTTTAAATGATACATAATGCATACTTATTATCTGAAAGTACATCTTGATATTTATTATCTACGATATTCACCATAATTTGCATTTACACTAACAACAAAACATTCTTAGTTTTTGACTATTGTGACTACCTTCATGAAATTAGAACTGTAGGAGCCTTACAACTTGATACTAGGTATTAATACAATCTGACACAATATGAGGTCACTAACAATCTATTGTGGTTTTACAAGTAAATAACATGTCAATGTGCTTTGTTCTAGATTTTAGTAGACACAGTTTGGGCAATCAGCTATTTAACAGATGGTGGCAATGACCAGATCCAAATGGTGATTGAGTCGGGAATAGTCCCAAAGCTTATCCCGTTACTGTCACACAAAGAGGTTAAAGTTCAGACAGCAGCTTTGAGAGCAGTGGGCAATATTGTGACTGGCACGGATGAACAGACACAAGTAGTCCTCAACTGCGATGCACTGTCGCACTTCCCTGCTTTACTATCCCACCAGGTAATAACATATATTTTTATATCACAATTTATTGCATACCTACATATTGAATCTGATTCTGTAAAATAAGTTGAAAAATTTTAATTAATTATCATCATGCAACTAATTTTCTGGTCTTAATTATATTTTCTTCAAACATGCAAGTCTTGTGTAAATAAGCAGAGTGGTTCGCGCGTCTGGTAGGCAGCCAAGATGGCAATTAATGTCTATTATTGTACTCGCGCGAAATAACCGGTAACCTGTCTGAATAAAATCTGTTGACATTAAATTTAAATATTTGATGTTAGAGTACATTGACTTTCTGTGTGTGAATGAACATTGTGATAATGATATCTCATAACTGATGATGATTGACCTTCAGATTGTGAATGTTATGAATTATACTAACTACTTAAGAATTTATTTTGTTTGTCCCATTAACTAATGTGTTGCCCTCATCAACACAAAGTTTCCTAACATGTTTTATTTTGTAAATAATTTGTATATCATAATTTTTATATAATTGTATTATAATAATTATAATTCTGACTACAGAAAGAGAAGATCTGCAAAGAAGCCGTATGGTTCTTATCAAACATCACAGCAGGTAACAAGCAGCAAGTGCAAGCAGTTATAGACGCGGGCCTACTGCCCAAGATTGTGGAGAACCTCACCAAGGGAGAGTTCCAGACACAGAAAGAGGCAGCCTGGGCAGTTTCCAACCTTAGTATCAGTGGGACTAAGGAGCAGGTTGCCGCCCTCATCAACTGTGGAGTCATACCGCCATTCTGTAAATTGCTCAGTTGCAAAGATACTCAAGTTATTAATGTAAGTTGCATCAAGTTCTTAGATAGATTCTGATAATGTTTTAAGACAGTTTTTGTGAACTATTTATGTTCATAACAACTACCTTGTTATTTATTTATGTATTGTAAACACGAATTATTTTATATTTACCAGGTTGTGCTAGATGGTTTAAGCAACATGCTGAAGATGGCGGGAGAGAACGCTGACCAAGTCGCTAATATGATCGAAGAATGTGGCGGCATCGACAAGATTGAGGCTCTGCAAAGCCATGAGAAAGTTGAGATCTACAAAATGGCCTATGATATCATCGAACAATACTTCACCGGAGAGGTATGTTAACTATGTCTAGTTAAAACAATATTTATTGACATGACTTGTAGAGAATATGGTGTTAAATGAGTGTCATTGCAGGAGGAGGATGCGACGTTGGTCCCGACAGCGGCGGAGTCAGGCTTCCACTTCGACGCGGCGGCCGCCGGGCCGCACGAGGGCTTCCACTTCTAGTGGCGGGCGCAGCAGTCTGGCCGCGGCCCCCGCTACTCCGGCCGCGGCCCGCTCCCCGGGCGCGCTCGTCGCGCCTTGTACTCTGGCCGCGTCCCCTGGCTCGGCCTTCGCCCCGCGTTTCGTTGTACAGTAGGCGAGGTCGCGCACCTTCACACGTGACGTCGGTGCTGCGGCTTCCTTGTGATACAGCTCTATTGTGATGTATGAAGTTTTTCATCTTTGTTTTTCGATTTCGTATTGTACCGAGTTATGGACGATGGACACGAAGTGGATAGCTTTAATGTTAAGTGCCGCGTACGCGACGTATGCGTTTAGTGTAATCTGCTTACCGATTTAATTGATGCTTTTGATATAACATAGTATTTATGTTTCGATTTTAACTCAAAACACAATAATAATTACAGTTTCTGGTATCGGGACCGGGCCAGCCGCGTCCCGTATGAAATTATGTTGAAATCAGACCATTTGTATTTTATCTATATACCAATAAATTCTGTCCAATATAATAATTGTTTTATTGCAAAAACAAATTACAATATTAATTTTAGTTTGAATAAATAGAAGGCAAGGAGTCTCGATGGATCTGCTTATACATGTAGTCATACTGTTTCTGTAAATAAATAACAATATACAATGATGAAAATGCTCCTTATTGTACACCAATACATAAACCTAGACAGACATACTTTCCTCATCTCGCACGCGTAACACTTGACGTTAGTATAACTCTCCTCTGAAGGTTCGGGCAGAGAGCGCGCCGTTACTTTACTCTGCAGCGACTCGGCATCGTAGAATAAACCCACCTTTTGCTGAAAACTGAAATTCACATTAGCTTATTATATCGATCGCAACAAATGATATCCCAAAAATGTGTCTATAGTAATTTGCTAAAGAATCTAACCACTACTCATGATCGAGACGAGATGGCCGAGAGTGGATAGACAGCACTGACTTCATAATCAATTACGGGCCATTGTCATTGTTTCTGAAGAATATTAATTAATTATCAAGTTTTAATGATAAATTATTTCAAAACAACTAAGTAAGACGTACTTGGGTAGTGGTTTCGTCCAATGGTTATCGAGTCTATTAACTTTCATAATATCGTTCAATCGCTGTAGGAGGCTAAAGTTCTCACTCTGTATCTTATTCTTTCTGTCAAGTTCTCGTTGATTCTTCTTTAATTTGAGTGCCACGTGTGGCCTGGCTGCCGGAGCTCTATCGTCTATAGCTGGTAACGCAGATCTTACCTACAATATGAAAGTCAAATATGTAGGTGATACAAAAACAAATTATGCTAATGTACTTACACAGATCTTAATTGATGTAGGTATGTGAAAAGTCGAACTTTAATCAGTTACTCACTTTTGAACGATGATCTTTGAATCTGCGATCCTCCCACGGTTGGATCAGTAGTTTATCTCTGCGCGATAACATTTCACGATTATGTCAATTAGCCAGAATCAAGCAACAGTCGAGCTCGTGAAGTTGTTTTGATTTTTAAATGTAATGTATGATCGATAGTTTGTGTAGCTATGATACTTATTATAGATATTGGTAACCAGGGCCAACATATATGGGAATCGCAACGCAACGGAATACTTAATGCGATAATTATGCATAAACTACCTATGTCGTGTTTTACATCAACATGTTTATGTTATAACTTTCGTGAGACATTCTAAATTAATTATTATGTTTTGGGCTTAGGTACTCACGTAACTACTTGACGAGGAACTCTTATTACTTTCAAGCCATGCTAGAGGCTCATATTCACGAGCCTCTAGCCGAAAACAATAATTAATACATCAAGATGTATATTTGACTCAAACCTATATAAATAAAAATGAATTTCCGTTCGTTAGTCTCCAAAACGCGAGAACGGCTGGGCCGATTTAGCTCATTTTGGTCTTGAAATGTTCGTGGATGTCCAGGTAGGGCAAGGCGAGAGAAATATTTTTTAGGTGGTACAAAGGGGAATATCGCCCGTGGGAAACCGAGGACAGGTTGGGTACTGCTTTATGACAAAAATATTAGTAAAATAAAACAACAGACTGCAAATTAATAAATAAATTATTGTTAAACATTACATACTGCACTTACATTGGCTCGTTACATCGGATAATATACATTCACAAAAACTTACAAACACAAGTTCGCAAATACAAATATAAAATAATATACTTTGAGCAATATAAAAATAAAAAAAACCGAATCACTCTATAATCTATACCTAGATACTATTAAAACGTTAGATACAGTAATGTATTTAGTCAATTTTTGAGAAACTGGTAGGGCGGTACTTTAGTACCCAATACTTAAGTTTTAAGCAAATCGTCGCAAGTGTTATTATAAAAAGCTTCAGGAATGTAAAGTCGGCTTTAATTCCTTCCTAAGTTTGGCAATGTTTATTTTATAAAGCTTGTTAAAGTTAGTGCACTATATTCACATTCGCAATTCATTTCCCATTTGCCCGTCAATAGACATTTTTATTTAACATACCAATATGACACTAATTTTTGAAACAATTCAATATGACCATCTTAAATGTAGATCCCGTGCTTGTCGCTACTTTGTGCTTGCATCCAATAAATGCTGCAACATTCTAGGAAGACTTTACAAGAGGAATATTGCCCTCACATAATTTAGACCAGTTATTACTTTTGTCCCAGTAGGTGCATATTGTGTATAGAATTTAATTTCAAGGCGCCGATAAAAATTATTAGGTATACAACTTTCAATATTTTTTCCAAAAAAACATGTTCTCACAAAACTTGCGGCCGCGGTACATTTTGCTATTTTTAATAATACATCTCTACACTGAGTTTGCCTCGCATTTATTTCTAATTACATTATTGAGTATAAAACGTATTAAATACATCAAAAAGATCTAGTAACTTACGATCAGTGCGTTTTGAGATATGACTTTCGACACATCCTTCTCCGAGTGCGAGAAATTTAAAAACTGCACATGTGATCATCTGATTAGAATGAGAAATTGAATAAAATTTTGATAATAAATAACAGGAACTTTCTAAACCACAAATTATCATTTGATACAATGTGATATTGTCTTTGATTTTTTTATTGTAATTGATAATGAAATATTCTCGCTTGTACACAAAGTGTAGACTGTAGTCATATCTCAAAATGATCACATGTAATTAAATAATAGTGCATCGTCAATGTTGGGCGACATTGTCGTCTCAAGGATGTTTTCCATTGAAATTATCCAAGGAGAATGTGAAGAGAAAAGGCCGTATTCCTTCAACTTAATTTGGCTATAATGAATTTAGCAAATGCAACTGAGACCAGTGACTTTAATTAATACTATACTAGTAATAAATTGTAATCACGAATTAAACAAAGCAGTTCTTTTTAATAAAAACGCCATTGGTTATAATATTAATCTCAGATTAGTATTTGTATGGTATTTGTAACGCGTTACTATACTAATATAAATGCAAATAAATCGTTCACACACGCGTAAAAACCATAGACAGGAGGAAAACACCCTCAATCACGCATCATACAGTGTTACATGTAACCTAACCTTATCGCTAAGTTTCGCATACAAAATTCTCTACACTTGGTGCATCATCAACTGTCAATGTGTAAAATAAAAAAGTCCATACAAAAATAAATGTTCCTGTGTAAAAGCTATTTAGTTAATACTTTCCGTATGGAGTGTCGTCGACGTTACTGGACAGTACATCACTACAGTCAGTACAGAAGCTACAACTCAGAATGTCAAGGTTCAACTTAAAATTAATCGTTGAATGTGATTCGCATTTTAATTTAAATATTGGTATCTACATTACGAAATTAATATATTATTATTATTAAACAATTATTAATTTGTATAAAACAACAATCAAGCTGCCTTTGTTATTTTTACAAGTGGATCGAATTGTAATTAACTTGTGCGCGCAACGTGTAGGGGTGATGGTAAATTAAATAATTTATAATACATAACGTACAACCCTTAATTCCACTTAATTACAACAAATTCCAAGTCACGTACCTACAATAGAATTATCGCCGAGAAATATCAGAGTACATATCTACAGTTGCTACAGTCCAATGCATTACCTACGTGGCAGACTTGCCAGTTACATCTCGCGGCGATACTGATACTCAGATCGAGCCGACAATCATATAAGAAGAGGCTCTGTATGTCGCGCGATGTTTTATGTGTGATGTATGTAAAACACATCGTATTAAATATTGCGTCGTTTTTCTGCCACTTTTTCTTCTCCATAGTTTAACAGTTCATACATTCCTACTTGCATAAAAATTTATACTTACACTAATCACATACAAATATTAGATGTATACAAGTGACTGGAGTTTAATTCACACAATGTTATAGTGACACCACCCGAACAGATCGCGCGCACCGAGTTTTATAAAAATAAATAAAACTGTAACATAAGAGTGAGAGTTGATTGTGATGTCGGCGTATAATATTGACTAGCGATTGTCACCTCAGTGGAAATCAACCCTTTGAGATTCCATGCCCACCACATCAGTTTGAACTTATCCATTGTTACACAGTTATAAAGCTAATTTTGTTAAGTTTTATTACTCAGTCAAGAGAACATTTGCCATCCTAATATTACAGCTAGCTTGAACAATTTAATTTTTGCATTCTGTGTCGGGTATTACTTGAAAGATTAAGTTCAAACTGGTGTAGTACCAACCAAGTGTTACCTAATTCGTTGTCATAAAGACTAAAACGTAGGAATATTGTTATGATTGATATATTTGACTACGCGATTCCACTAGTCAGACTTATACAGTTGGTGCGACCGCGCGTGCGATATACTCCGGCCGCCGCGCGACCGGGCGCTGTCGCGACAGACAGGCGGGGTCGATGCTCGTATTATAAAATAAGGAATGGTGATTTAATGCTTTTGAAGTCCTCGCGAGACTTAAAAATTGTTGTTTATCACGAACTTGCATTCTAGATATATCCACGATGTTGTTGGGAAACAACAATGCGTGTTACGTTAGCAAATTGCCTGTCGATCGCAACAGAGCCCTCTAAACGTTAAGCGCGATATAAAATTCTTACAAAATTCCCACTCACTTACAATAACTCCTCAGCCCGACACATTCCACGATTTTCCCTGATCATGACTTACATTATATCTTACTTAGCCAAACATCACAACATATGCATCAGTGTATATTTAGTTATACATCACATGCTCTGAAGCGTCCACTCAATATATCCGCGCGGAGCTCAGACACGCGACACAATCGATTATAATATGCGTAAAACACAGTTTAACTATAACTCATTATAAAATTACACTATAGAACTTACCTAAATAATATGATATAAATTGTTATTAAACACTAATAGAGATAAAGAAGCCAATTTTTGGTTTTGTTATTGTAGTAATAAGTTTAGACGTCGCTTCAACGCTGACTTACAAGTCGTCACAGTACATACGTTCGTCACGAACAGATTCCTCGGGGATACGTTGTACTATTGAGTGATGTGGATAGCGGAATCCGTTCGACTCGATTAATCGACTACTTTCGTGCTAAACCCTCACTAACGGTGGTCGGTTCCGATCGAGCGTGCGGAGCCTGGATAAAAAATTTCGTACAAAATTGACAATGCATATACGGAAGCTCTGAACTAGTTTTAACGAGTAAATAGTGGACACGGGCGTACAAAAGGTATGTCGGGGCCGCTCAGCACGGCTGCGTGGCCTTGGGCAGCGGCCGCACGAGGTAGAGCTTCTCGCCCGCCTTGTTGGTGTAGATGGGCGCGCGCTGGTAGTGCGCCACCAGCTGCTCCAGCGACGGGAACTTGCGCTGCCCGATGCAGTACAGCGCGCCCTCCACGTGCACGCGGAAGTGCTTGTTGCGCCCCGGCGCCTTCAGCGACACCGAGTAGTCGCCCACCTGCGGACGTACGCCATGTTTAGCAAACCATTGGAGACGCTTTATGAAGCTCCAACTTGTACAATAATCATCCTTACGTTGGTCTCCGAGTCCCGTATGAGGAAGTCTCCGTCGTGTCCGTGCGTGTTGAGTAGTGCGTCGCAGTGCGTGCGAGTGATGGCGCCGTAGTACCAGGCGCGCCCGGCCGCCGCGCCCGGCCCCGGCCGACCGCCGGAACCGCCGGACCCGCCGGACCCGCCCTCGCTACATACAGACAAATCTTTTATTACTAGGTACAACAAGACACACAAATCAATGATAAAAAACTTTCAATTAGATTTTGACTAATCTTTTGGCTTTTGACTTACAGAAAGATTGCTAGAAATGTGTTGTAGGATACCTCTCACGAAATCGTTAAATATCTCAAAGAATTTCAGTATTTTTTTTTTTAAGGGAGGAAAATCATCGAATGACTGCTCCCGTCTGGGTGAGGCGGAAGGGAGTGTCAGACTCTTACTGACTAAAAACCACCCCGTTCCTTCTCCTGCACGTCGAGCCGGAGCCCCAGTTACCCGTTAGGTTCTCCGCGACTAGAATTTCAGTATAGGTTGCAATAAATAATGTAGTTCACCTGTAGGGCGTGGTGAGGTAGTCAGCTAGTTCCTGCAGATAGTTCCGTGGCACGAGCCCGACATGTCCGCGCGAGTCCCTGGCCCTGTACCACTCGGGGTCGGAGGGCGGACGCTCGATGATCTCGAGTCTGTCTCCCTTCTCGAACGACAACTCCTGCTCGTTGTTCGACGTGAACGAGTACAGCGCCACCTGCGGGGACGGCTAAATACGTTATTCTCCACTGCCGCACTCTTCAACTGGTTCGTGTCAATCATAGCAATATAAGATAGAAAAAAGTATTAGCATTTTGCAAGAGACCATTATATGCAGCCTCTTAGAACAAAATGATGGCATTAATTACCAAAAGCTATGCTACAGAAGTATTCATTCATACTAACCACTATGTCGAGCACATTTTCCGCCATGGCGTACGTATGCACGGGGTCCTCATTGTCCCCCTCCTCGCTAGTGTAGTTCGATGGAAACCTGCAGGGAATACACAATATTACTAATTACACGGCGTAATAATCAACACACTGATGACGTCAACTACTTAATTAATTGAATGCTAAGTAATTTGTCCGGAATTCTGAATACTTAATTAGTATTTAATAACATTGTTTTTTCCTGCTTTACATAACTTTGTAAAAAGGCAAAAATGTAGTAAATTCATCCATTCTTGCATTGTATTTGCATACTAAGTTTCTTGGTGATTTGATCTTTCGTTTGCTGTGTAGTTTCCGCACGAGTTACGTTATCGAAATTGGATGATTCAAATGACTGACTCATTGACCCAAGAATGTATTTTGTTTTAATTAATTATGCTTCGTTAAACTATAAAGAAATATTAGAGTTGTGATTATCGAACTCGTGTGAAGGTGTCAGATTAATTAAAAATCCGTGTGCAGTTTCTCTCTCACTATTTCTACATAATTAAACTTTGAAGCCATGTGTGAATGCAGAATATGTAAGGCAAACAGTACATACCATCCAGTGTGGGCCTGGTACTGTCCCCGCCACCAGCCATCGTTGCTCTTCTCGAGTATGAGTATGCGCGTGCCCTTGGTGAGGGAGAGCTCGTCGGGCTGCTGCGCCTGGTAGTTGTACTTGACGACGGCGGTGCCGAGCGCGTCCGCCGGCTCCACGCGCCGCCCGCCCGCCTCGCCGCCGCCGCGCACCGGGGAACTGTTCGACGGCAACGTCTTCGAACCCGACCCCTTCTTCACTTTCTTCTTAATACTGTAATTCACGAGCATTATGTCAACTACAGTGACAATATCCGCAAAGTCGATGGCAGTGGTTCGAAAAGAATTACTCAAAATATGCTGAATGCCGTCTTATTAATGATGAAGGCAACAAGCTGATGATGACGTTACGATTCATCTTCACCGCGACCCTCGTTTCAATTTGTAGAATATCGCCGCGATTTGTTGGACGATAGATCACATAGAATTTTTTGATGTTTACACAGGTGGCCAGCCATATCAAGATAATTATAATACTCTAGTCTCCACTACAGTTATATAACATGCTGGTCGCGTCTGCTCGTCTTAACGCTCCGCCGAGTTTTAAAACTAGGTACTGCGAGATTTCTACTGCAGATTCTAGCACTTTTTACTTGTTTTAATAATTAATGCACGGAGAACGCCACTAGTTAATCCACACAGAGCAGCTAAGGGTGTGCTACTACAGCGCCGGCTCGACAGCTAACGCGTTTATTGTTATTTGTCCCTCATACGTATAACATTGTTCTGGTATTTTTTAATACTCTTGTTTTCTCTCATTGTGTAACAACACAATATGCAATTATACCCAATCGTACTATTATTTCATTCAAATGTGAAATGTTTATTACATGCGTAACGAACATCTTCATTGTAATGTTGTAAACAACGGCATTTTTCTGAGATTTGCTAATACTAAGCAGGGAGTTCATTAAGCGGCTGATTGCCTTACGGCTCACAAACATCGAAGTCTAAATTATACATGGTTAGTAAAGATGTAATGAACTCGTAACAAGGGTTCTTAATTAAAATAATACATATTTCGAACTGTTTTCGCTCGATATTACGCCAATACGGAAAGTGCAAATAGTTGATATCCGGTAAGGTAATATTTGTGCGGATATTTCATAAATGTAAATTATCCTGTTAGCTTACGTGTAATTTTCAGAACAATAACATGAGCGTACAGATCGTACCTGACAACAGGAGTTAATTAAGAGGACAACGTAACCGCACTAGTTACGTATTCACAGAAATATTTTTCTAAACCTGTAATGGACATTACAGCAGTAAATAAACAAAGAATTTTTTAGAGTTCCATTTGCCTAGGAAAAGGCTTGGTTGACCCAAGTAGAAATATCAGAACTTGACCTGTGCTCTCTGGCTGTAAAGTATGTAGGCTGTAAAGTAGTACGTAAACTAGGCTACTAGATTAATTCCCAAGAAGATATTGGTAGTCCCTTCATAAATATTCATTTGATATCTAGACTATTTGACATACAATATCAAATATAACACAAAACATGCACAGCTGGATATTTGTGCATTTCGGTAGGTGTATACTAAACTTGATAGTTGATAGCATCAATGTCACCTTTGTAACACATAGATAAACTCAAGATCACAAATGTTTGCCTTACGCATGCATATTATAATTTGATATTTAACAGACACAACTGTACATCAAAGACTTACCGTGTTTATCATAAAGAATCGAAATTCAGAGATGAATTCATTAAAGCGTCGGTATGTTGGGTACATTATAATTTCTTTTGAATTAGTTATTCTTACAAGATCGTCATTATAAATCAAGCATAATGATCTATACTACTATAATTGTATTACACGTAGTATCCGCTGTAACGGCTACGGCAGTTATGATAAATGTAATAAAGATTCCAACCCTATTGCCAAGAACCGCAACTGCTTTCAACTACAGAAAATATTAAACTTGTAAATCAATAAAAGTATTTTGGTTCCTGTATTGATCATCTTTTTTTTATATGGCATAAGCCGGTAACCGAGCAGACGGATCACCTGATGGTAAGCAATGGGCGTCGCCTATGGACATCTGGAACACCAGAGGCGTTACGAGTGCGTTATCGGCCTATTGGGGATTAGGAGTTTGAGGATCGTTTCGGGATCGTTGAGGGATTCAGGGATTGGGGAATTGGACCTCCGGTAACCTCACTCACACGACGAAACACAACGCAAGCGTTGCTTCACGTCGGTTTTCTATGAGGCCGTGGTATCACTCCGGTCGAGCCGGCCCATTCGTGCCGAAGCATGGCTCTCTCACACTTGAATCTCCAACGTGAAACTATCATAGTGAACAGATTTTTCTTACACTACGCCATTTAAACGTTTAATTGAATTGCCAATTGATTTGAACACATAAAAGTTGCGCGTAATTGACCCATTTCAAATTGGCCGTGGTCATATCATTTTGCGACCGTACGTTTCTAGTGTCATAGTGTGATTCTAAGAATGGGGTCGAGTGGGCTGTCTGTCTTTCTGTTGTAAAGATTTACAAGGACATGCAAATAGATGAGTTCAGAGTCAACGCCCGCAATACCATGTTGAGGTATTTTTAAATCAAACGACAATAAGATTCGCTGCACCGCTTTTGATTCACATCACATCAACAGCATATAACTGGCCACTGCCTCTTCTCACACGGAGAAGGTTTGAGCATTAATCACCACGCTTGCTCAATGCCGGGTTAGCGATTTCAAATTAATAATTAGATATTATAAGCCCAGGTTTCCTCACGATGTTTTCCTTCACCGTTTGTCAGTGATGTCTAAATAATCTAGAAAGTACGTAGGTAGGTACTTGTCGTGGGTAGGTTTTGAACCCGCGTTCTCATGCATGAGAAGCGAGCGTCTTAAACTTTCGGGTCACAACGACATATAAGCGTTTGATGGTCTGGTATAAAAAAATAATTCCAGAAGTACACCAATGCTGATCTGAAGACAAGATCGCGTCCTATTGACTCATATCGCTACTTATGTATTACCAGTCAACATTACTATCTAACATTCGTGCAGACAATGTTTACATATTGCAGATATAGTTTAGGAAACGATAACGTTTACCTTTAAATCACTATCAATAATTTGGAAATATGACCGTCGTTTCTGGGTGCCTGTCTTTGCTTTGATGGTTAGGTAGATGATCTAAGTATGTAGTTACTTGCAGTGTCAATTGACTTTATGGCATACATGCGTGCCGTTTCTAAGTACCCAAGAAGTATTGTTGAAAAACTTTATCAATGCAAATACAACTGATAATGAGATGAATACATTCAGACACACTGTTCAAGTTTTATAATGAAACAGTAGTATTATACTCGAACTTGTACGTTTCCTTGAGAAAGTCTGACTTTACGTTGTTGATATTTATTTACTTAATGAATGTATGACACATACATACTTCCGCATTTCCAATAATACTTTTATGCAACTTGTAAGTATTATATTTTATTTTGGCTCTGATTGCTCTAATACTAAACGTGCCACCGTGGCAACTGACTAACTGCCAGTAGATATATAACAAACATAACAATAGAATTTGTTCAGTAGTTATCGAGTTTATTGCTGACATTCCTGCGTCGCTTTATGTTTGAGAATAGTTATTATTGCCAGCATTTTGAAGCCACTCCCTCACCTGTCAAAGAGCGAAGGTTTCTCCTTCTTGACGTAGTTGCTGGGCACGTATCCCGACTGGCTGCGTGCGTTCTGCACCCGCCACCAATGCTTGGAGTCGTCCAGCAGCAGATACCGCTCGTTCTTGCGCAGGTCCAGCTCCTGAGCGCCTTGGGCCGCATAGTCGTACTTAGCGACCACGTAACAAACATCGTCCTGAAACGTGATTAAGGAAGTTAAGTCGTGGGTTATCAGAGATCGCTTTTGAATCTACTAAAACAGAATTCGATAAAACGAATAGCTGAATCGATCTCACTAATTTGCTAAAGAGGGTTGCCCACAACAAATGGAAAACAATTACATAGTTCATTGATAACAATCACTGGCTGTTAGATCAAATTATTGAGTAAGTATTCAAAAATAGCATTATGGATTGAATAAACTTTGGCCGATTCGAGATCTTCGGAATCGAAGGCTCGTAAGGCTTAAAGACGAACATTTAATCAACAAGGTAGTGAGAAGTGAGTACCTATTACCAATGCACTGTATCCGTTAAGCTTTAGTAAATTGTGGTAACTGTACCTGTGTTATCAATGGCAGTATATCAATACGGGGGCGGTCGTAACATTACAATTACGAAAACCATAGTTACGATATAAAGACACTGTCAAGGACGGACTGTTCCGTGCGGTTAACTGAACGTGGTGTGGAAAGTAAGGGAGGGATTATAAGTATAGCAAATCGTTTACAAAAGATGGAATACTGTAAATGTACTCAATAACAGCGAACTGCAGCCGGCATTCAGTCAAAGACTATCAGATTACTTTTGGGGTGCATATTTGGACGATAATAACTTAATATATGTCACGTTTTTAATTCTAGATCTTGATGAGAAGAGGTGTGTTACACTATAATACCCACATTTTGTAGAGTGAGCGAGCACAATTCCAAAATCTCTGCTTTGCTCGGCAGTCGCGTTTGTTACCACTCGATTAACGACAATATTTATTATGAAAGCTTTGAGAGCTATATTTTTGGTTTTCCCGTTGATTCGTATTTAGTGCTAGTAAAATTGCAAAGATAAACTAATCCTAAGACTAATCTAAAAGTTAGGTGCAAAAGAGAGAAAGCCCATCTGTCTGTAATGAATCCGCTGATAAAAATGATGTGGGCGTATTTATGTTAAACAGATTAGCTCATAGTTGCTCTGGAATTTAGCAAACACTGACGTCACTTTAATGTGTTGTAGTAAATAATGGGGTCTTGTGATGAAGTACAAACATTTTATAGGGGTCCTACCGATCGAAAGTGTATTCTCTAAAGTCGGTCGATTGGCAATCTGAGACAACCAGAGACAGATAAGTAGCAAGACCAATTGATCCTGTCCATCAGGACTATCAAGTCCTCAACCTGGTTCCAGTCACATTTCTATCATGAACTGGCTACTTCACGCGGTTTCACACGCTCTGCTCGGTTCCTATTGGACGTAGCCTGATGTTTTATAGCCTATAGCCATCCTCGATAAATGCGCTATCCAACACAAAAATAATTATTCAAATCAGACTTGTAGTTACGAAGATTAGCGCGTCCAAACAAACAAACAAACAAAAAGAAACTCTTCCGCTTTATATAATAGTATAAGACATGGTTTTCAACCTGTAAAACAACACAGGAATACTATTTTTTTACCTATTATGGTAATTTTAATTAGAATAACCCATTAGCATTTTATGATTTACTTGGGGATCAAAGCAGGACCTATTTATTCATAGTTATGTACACCATCCATTTGAACAATTTGGCTACACTTATCATTTCATCATGTTCACAGTCTCACACCTATTCCCTAAAGGGGTAGTCAAAATTTATTATTTATAGTACTTACTTTTCTTTACCTACCTACCCAATTAGTTATAATATAATATAACAAAGAAGGCACACTATTTTAAATTAAATATTATTAAACATAATCTTTTTACATAATTACATACAAAATATTCTTTTAACAACAAAATCATTCTTGAATAACCACCAGTGGCAATATTAATATATAGTGTTTATTTCAAGGAATTCCATAGACCAGTGTGGTATGTAAAGTATTATAATATAACAATAGATCATACAACATTAATAAATAAATAACTAGTGTCACTAACCACAATCCAGGATAAATTGTGTTAAGTAGAGCAAGCTGCACAAAACAAACTAAGATGACTTATTGTTAAGTGAAACTACACAATGATTTACATATAGGCATAATTAAATGTCTGTCTGTGTTGTACTTAAACACATTTATTGTAATTAAGCTCTGCAGAGTTCAATGAACTTTGCCATATTTAGAACTATTTGTGATTACCGTCTAATCTAATAGTTTTTGGGGTCAACAGTCTAACTTGTTATTAGATTAAATTATTGATATGGTTACTATTTGATCTGAATATCAACTCATTAATTACTAGCCATATTTAAATAAGAATTTGAAAGTTTGGAAAGAAAGTGAATGGTGTTATTTTATATTTAGATAATGTTACATAATTTGATGAAAGTAACATTTATTAAACAGCATAAATTACCATACAATAAAAAAGATCCTGCACATGTTTGATTCATTGAAAATATTTATATTTCAAGCAGGATAACTGTGTAAGGAAATTAAAAACAATATCATTCATTGTGAATGATCATATGTTTCATTGTCACAATAACAATGTACCTGCTTATAACAACAAGGGTGGGTAGAGGAGTGTAATACTCTATACTCAATACTAGTACCATTTACCAACAGATTAAGATGACAATATTATGACAAGTATTTATTTATTAAGAAAAAATAAATAGTTTAACAAATAGCAAAAATTATGAATTACTTAAATATACTGAGAAAAGCTCTAGAAAAGAAAAGCTCGAGTCACATAGGCTTTGTGACATCACCGCGACTGCTCACGCTGCTTATGAGGAAGAGTCCCTCTGTGACTCGAAACTATTTGAGATTTTCTTAGTACTTTTCCGTAAGTAACTCGTAATTTTTTGTTAATTTAGCATGTCTCACTATAGTTATTATAAAAACATAACATCTAGCATGTAAAATAGAATAATTACTTATTGAAATTTTATTGTATTGTGGACTGTTGAAGAAGCGAAGGGGGTATGTAAGAATCATAGGAATTGGTGTTCCATAATCTCTGTCCTATGGGAGTCAGGCATGAGGTTATGTATGTATGTATTAAGCTTCTGTTTGTGGCAGTATTTGATGATTGGGTATATCACAATAGTTGAATAGTAAACTTGACTGGCCTCTGACTAATAGTAATTAGGCATGGCTTAATAGAACTAATGAATATCTATTTAGGGATTTTCATTAACTCACAATAAACTAAATGTTAAATTGTTATGTCCTTTCGGATTTAAATATGTATAGGAATCAAATTCCTTTAAGTTGTTCATATAATTCTAGGAAAGATCAATTGACAAATGGATGGGAGCAGAGACAAGACAGATACATGTCATCAGTCCACTGAACAATAAAGTTTAATGAACTTAGTTTGTATAGGAGAATACACCACTAGAGTCTGGAAGTTAGTGGGTTTCTCTATTTCATTCTATGCTTGTAAAGTTTCACAGGACTTAGAAATAGTAATTGGGATGATGACAGGGTATGAAACGTAAAAATATAATTAGGTAGCTAGTTCGTAAGTTAGGTAATGATATAATGAATATTAGACACATTTTTTTTTCGTATAATAAAACAATACTTAGATAAAACAAATCAAAGTTTAGGAGTGGGGGCTAAAACATCATTTCTATGTATAAAATTTACATACAACTGACGTCACGAAATATTTCAAATCTATATATCGTCGAAAGTATTCCTTTCTGTAAGAAAATAAGAAATATGTGTCTAATGATTTAAAATAATCTACCAGACAGAAATGAAAATAAAAATTAGACATCTATCCTATTACCTACATTAGTATTTCCACAGCTATGAATTGGTTGTTTTTGTGGAGGACTTACTTTTGAGTTGTAGAGATATGTGGAATACATTTAGGGGCTAACATTGTGCAGTGGTTCTATCAACTTGCTTTGGAAACTAAGACAGAATAACAATAAGTATCTTGTTTACTTTGTAGCAAACAAGCAAAGCAACATAATCTTTATTATCATTTTGTTTACTGAGATAGCATTTTTACAATATAATTATTCTCCAAAGCATGTTACAATTCATTCCTAATAACAACATGCATGAAACATGTTCTACACATTATCTAAACATTAAAAAATAGTGAAAGTGCTAGGAACATGAATAATAATGTATTATTCATAGCAGACACTATGAGCAAAAAATTTTTAAATTATCTACTTGAGCTCATCAAATTCCACAACAATTAATATGTAACAACTGTTGCCTAATTGCTGGCACTCAGGGCCAATCAGATTTGCATTCTACCTAAACAGATAGTTGTATGGTGAAGTTAATGCACTTTATGTGAACCTAGATGAAGGAATAGCAGCTCTATTAGTGCATTACAATGAAAATAGTTATCTGAATACACTTTTTCAATAGAGCACGAAACAGGAAGTGCCAAATTAGGACCGTTGTGCAGCTGATGGTTACGTTCGGCAGTGGGTGTTAAGTGAAGGTATACCTGTGCGTTTTTCCCGTGCCTCGTGTTGGCCATGGCGTGCGGCGCCGGCAGCGGCTTGTTCGCCCACACCGAGTCTGCGGCGCGCGCCGACCGCGTCTCCAGCATGACACCCCCAGCTACAGATCCGGTCGGTCACCGCAGCCGCCTTCACTGATACATTGCGTCCATCACCGAGATCACTGCACTGCACCACATTCACTGCACTTCCGCAAAATGATACCTAACCGATCGATTCACGATGCAGTATCACCACAAAACCTAATGATTGTTTATTGTAGGACGTGCGAAAAGTCCGAAAGCCAATGAGACACCAAAGGAGGTTCGCACTGTTCCAATGCTTAGGTCTTCCAAATATTCATTATTCAATCAGAATAATCTATAACGTAGTACTCAATATAAATTATTATACTTTTGGTAGGATTTTCACTCAGTTTGTCTTAAATTAACGATTAATTTAGTGAAAAGTCTCACTTGTCGGTGGGGCAAACGACGAATCAATAGACAAACTTATTTTTTTAGAAAACCAGTCAAAAAGCATAGATTATGTAGAGATGAAACCAAATCCTTTATTTCATATAAATAGTCGAGTAATTTGCATATTTAAATCAGGTGTAAAATCATAGTCAACTTTATCGTCTATGGTATCATGACAACAACTATTGGCAACACCAAACCAATCGCCAGTGACCAAACACAGACCCAGAGAGTATTATAGTAATTTTTATTCAGTCAGTGACGTTTTGCTACGTACTACGTACGTACCTATGGTGTTTTCGTTGAAATAATTTCTGATGGCTATAAATCATTTATTTTAGTCCCCCCTAAGAAGTGATAATGTCTGATTCGGAAGGCAGTAATTACTCAGGAAGTGGTTCAGAGGCAGGAAGTGTAGCATCACGGCGATCGCGACGAAGTGCCGCGTCGAATCGTTCAGTCCGCTCCCGCTCAGGCTCCCGGTCGAGATCCGGCAGCCGCAGCATATCAAGGACTCCTTCCAGATCTCGCTCCAGATCTAAGTCACATTCACGATCTCGCTCTAGGTAAACTGCATTTCTTAGTCGTACTAAACCATACTTGTTGTGTTTGCCAACTGATAAGGCCAGTTTGACAACAGTTGTGCTAGGTAAAAGCTTTGAAAAATCACCACATGCTTATTTTACAAGTACTTTTTCTAAAAATTAAATTGCATTCCAATTGTGGGAGTGGTGTGTTTTCAGGTTACAGAAAATAACCTGAAATATGTTTACTTGTAACCCAAATTCGTTGTTAAAATCATAGATCTTTTCATTTTGTAATACAATTCCTAATTGGACAAAATATTGCAAATTCAATAAGCATATTCAGAGAAGAATACCATGCATTCTGGCTCTGATTGTGGCATATGTTTTTTTTTCCACCTCAATAATTATAACTGTTAACTATTGGTTTTTGGGTCAATCATTGAAATTATAGTTTAAGTTAAGGTGTGATAGACATGTTTACCCTATAAGTAACAATACTTATTCCAGGAGCCATTCTGCAGGATCAGATGCCAGTCGCAACAGAGATGATGAGGCTAAAGAAGCATCTGGTGATGAAGAAGTTGAGGTATGGTTTGGCACATTGCCTTTTGGCAATATGGAGTCTTTAATAATATTTTTTGTTAAATACCATTAACTCATCGAGTACCATATTTATAGACACAATTAAAGAACAATAGGTTGCGGTCACCGGTGACCGCTTGGTGTTTGACAGTTTAAGAAGTTGTTTACTTTCAAAATATGTTAAATTTGTATTTAAGGTTATAAAAAAATCACAAGTAAGTATTGAGTACCTACCGTCATTATAGACACAATTAAACATATTTATAGACACAATTTAACAATAGGTGTGCGGACACCGGTGTCCTCGAGGTGTTTGACAGTTTAATGTTTTATTTCACTTTATTACAGGATGAACAAGAGCCAGAGGGAGAAGACTTAGTAGACTCTGAGGAATATGAAGAAGATGAGGAGGAAGAAAGGCTGAGAAAGAAACGCAAAAAGGACAGCCGATATGGAGGATTCATTATTGACGAGGCTGAGGTAACATTTTCAGAATAAAAGCTACTTTTTCAATTGCAATTTCCACTTAATTTGTAAATACTTACATTAATTTTTACTATACTTCTTACAGGTGGATGATGAGGTCGATGAAGATGATGAATGGGAAGAGGGGGCCCAGGAAATGGGCATTGTTGGAAATGAGGTGGATGAAATTGGTCCCACAGCCCGAGAAATCGAGGGTAGACGCAGAGGCACCAATTTATGGGATTCACAGAAAGAAGAAGAGATTGAAGAATATCTCAGAAACAAATATGCTGATGAATCAGCAGCACATAGACATTTTGGAGAAGGTGGAGAGGAAATGTCTGATGAAATCACCCAACAAACTCTCTTACCAGGGATAAAAGACCCCAACTTATGGATGGTCAAGTGCAGAATAGGAGAAGAGAAGGCTACTGTTCTACTTCTCATGAGAAAATTCATTGCTTATCAGTTTTCTGAAGAACCATTCCAGATCAAATCTGTTGTGGCCCCAGAAGGTGTGAAAGGATACATCTACATTGAAGCTTACAAACAAACACATGTTAAGAACATTATAAATAATGTTGGTACATTGAGAATGGGTATCTGGAAGCAAGACATGGTACCTATTAAAGAAATGACTGATGTATTAAGAGTAGTTAAGGAACAATCTGGTCTAAAGCCAAAGCAATGGGTGAGGCTCAAAAGAGGTCTGTACAAGGATGATATTGCACAAGTGGACTATGTAGACCTAGCTCAAAATCAAGTGCATCTAAAATTATTACCTAGAATAGATTATACAAGGCTGCGAGGGGCTCTGAGAACTGTCCAAAGTGAAAGTGAGGCAGCTAAGAGGAAAAAGAAAAGACGCCCAGCAGCGAAACCTTTTGACCCTGAAGCTATCCGAGCTATCGGAGGAGAAGTCACATCTGATGGTGACTTCTTGATATTTGAAGGAAACAGATATTCTAGAAAAGGATTTCTATACAAAAATTTCACAATGTCTGCCATTTTGGCTGAGGGTGTAAAGCCTACCTTGACTGAATTAGAAAGATTTGAAGAACAGCCAGAGGGCATTGACATAGAATTAGCAGCACCAGCCAAAGATGACCCAACTAGCTTACATTCATTTTCTATGGGTGACAATGTAGAAGTATGCTCTGGTGACTTGGCCAACTTGCAGGCTAGGATTATAGCCATAGATGGGTCCATGATAACAGTGATGCCAAAGCACGATGCACTGAAGGATCCTCTGGTGTTCAAACCAAATGAGTTGCGGAAGTATTTCAAGCAAGGTGACCATGTGAAGGTGTTAGCAGGACGGTATGAGGGTGACACTGGTTTGATCGTGCGCGTGGAGCCACATAGAGTGGTTCTTGTGTCAGATCTGACTATGCATGAACTTGAAGTGTTGCCACGAGATTTACAATTATGCTCCGATATGGCTACTGGTGTGGACTCTCTTGGGCAATTCCAGTGGGGTGATATGGTCCAACTGGATCCACAAACAGTCGGCGTGATAGTTCGTCTTGAAAAAGAAAACTTCCATGTCCTTGGAATGCAGGGTAAAGTAATTGAATGCAAGCCACAAGCTTTGCAGAAACGACGCGAGAGCAGGTTCACTATGGCTTTAGATTCTGAACAGAATACTATTCAGAAACGCGACATCGTGAAAGTTATCGATGGACCTCACGCTGGGCGTAATGGTGAAATCAAACATCTGTACAGGAATTTCGCGTTCTTGCAGTCTCGCATGTACCTTGATAATGGTGGTATATTCGTATGTAAGACGCGACACTTACAATTAGCGGGCGGTAACAAGAATTCTAATGTGTCTACGGGTCTTTCTTTGGGATTCATGTCGCCAAGAATTCAGTCGCCGATGCATCCTTCCGGCCGCGGCGGTATGACACCGCGCGGTCGGGGCCGCGGGGGGCGCGGGGGCGGCGTCACACGCGACAGAGAGCTCATCGGACAAACTATCAAGATCACAGGCGGACCTTACAAGGGGAATGTCGGTATCGTCAAGGACGCTACAGGCAGCACGGCCCGCGTGGAGCTCCACTCGGCGTGTCAGACTATATCTGTGGACCGCTCACACATTGCGGGGGCCGGCGCCGGCGCAGCGCGCGGCGGGGCCTCGTTCTACACTCGGACTCCCGCCCGCACCCCGACACTGGGCGCGCAGACCCCCACGTACCGCGACACCGGCATCAAGACCCCCATGCACGGGTCCGCCACACCTATATACGACGTGGGCGGCCGCACCCCGCACTATGGCTCGGCCACTCCGTCGCACGAGGGCGGCCGCACCCCGGCGCACGGCGCCTGGGACCCCACGGCGGCCAACACGCCAGCTCGCGCGCCAGACTTCGAGTACGGCGCGCTGGACGACGGGGACGCGGCGTACGCGGCTGGACCCTTCACTCCACAGACCCCGGGTACTATGTACGGGTCAGACCACACGTACTCGCCGTACCGACCGAGTCCGTCCCCCGCGGGGTACACTGCCGGGTACCCTGCGACCCCGTCTCCGGGCGGATACTCGCCTCGCTCACCATATGCAGCTGCTGATACTGCAGCACCCGACTGGCATACTACGGAAGTTGAGGTAAATATAAATACTTTTATTTCTAACTTGTATTGTAATTGGAGATGAGTGTATAAATAACGGCAACTTGTCCCCAGGTGCGGGTCCGCGCGGCGGCGGAGGACGACGCGCTGGCGGGGCAGTCGGGCGTGGTGCGCGGGCTGTCGGCCGGCATGTGCGCGCTGTACTTGCCGCAGGAGGACCGCGTCGTCAACGTGCTGGCCGACCTACTCGAGCCCGTCGTGCCGCAGTCCGGGGATAGGGTCAAGGTCAGTGTCAGTCCACTTATTACAAAAAGTGATAGAAAATTTCAAGATCCTTAAACACTTATATTTTTAAATTTCGGAACTCTATTATTTAGTCTAATAAAATCTCCTGATTTTATTTTCCACAGGTGATTGCGGGCGAGGACCGCGAGGCTGTGGGTCAACTGATCTCTATAGAGAATCAAGAAGGAGTAGTGAAGTTCGGTACAGATGACATCAAGATCATGCAGCTGCGTCATCTCTGCAAGATGAGCACTGCCTAGACATACGTTTGACAACTTAGCTAAATTAGATTAACTTTAGGATATACAAACTCTTTAATTTCGCTGTAATTGTAACTTGCTAGATGTTTATTTCCCTTTTCTGTTTGATACAATATTCAAATATTATATTGACACAAAACCATTCAATGAATTAAACAAAAGCTTGTAATAATACTCCTAAACTCCCAGACTTTATTTTCCGAAGTGTTTAATATTTGCAGAGAACCTTCATGTACACGTTATACATCTAAACCTATTTAAAACTTTATGTTAAAAAGTTAATTATGTTATTTACAGAAGTATAAATAAACTATACAACTGCAATAGATTCACTTGTTTTTATTTTACTTTTGTTTCGTAACTTCTAGTTGGCTTCAAAATGTTTGTTTTCAATTTGGCCGTGGGCCGCCCATCAGTGAGTTTTATGTAATCTATTTTGAATAATATTTTTAAGAGATCACCAAACCAAGAGTAACCTTGGGGTGACTCCTACTATCCCTGTAAATAAGCTTCTATAATAGATAGGAAGGAAAATGATTATTAAGAAACAACAACCAATACTGATTTTATTAACATTTATTCAATAAATAATACAAAATTGGTTTTCATTGCAATGCTTAAGAATTTCAAACACAAAGTTACAGGCTCGTGAACTGAGCAAACACCTACAACAGTACACTGATGATAATATTAAGATCATTTCAATGATTACAATATGATTACATCGAAAAATATAACGATACCATACAGTTAAAGTCGAGGTCTCACATTTAAATACATCAATGGAATTTTACGTTTGTTCAGGTAACATTGATTACATTAATAAATTTATTTTAAAAGGTTTATATTAAAATGTATGTAAATGTAAATGCTCAGCGAAATGCGGGCGACGGTTAAAATGCTGTAACATTGTTTAGTAACATTGACTAGCTCCCTCCTCACTCCTGTCGGCGCTACAGAGACGCTAAACAACTTTAGCCATGATTTACAAAACAATAAAAACTAATCAACAAATTTATAATCCGACCTAATTATGTTGACACGCACACATTTCGATACTACCTAAACTTGAACGTATTATGTAGTCGTACAATGATCAAATGTTCACATGATATTCGTAGACTAAGTATACGTTTTCTTAGCGTAAAACTAGAAATATCCATGAATGTTTTATTATGCTTGTACTAATGCATCATGTGTCAACATAACCGTATTACATTAATACATTAAAACATTATCATTCTGCTAACATTATGCAACACAATGAGCTCGCCATGAACACTCATTTCTCAAATGAGTCATCTTCATTATTATAATACAAATAAACAGATGAACAAAAATGAATTTATTGCAAAATTATTATTATTACATTGCAAACACTATCCCCGATCCCCCTAAGTACTAATACAATTATCTTAGTCTAGCGATGTTTCGTCCCGACCACGAAACAATTATTTTGTCTTTTAAAAACACGTAGGAACAAATGTACTAGTTTCATGGTAGGGACAATAGCTATCTACACATGAGATGCTAGGCCAATATCTACACGATATCCGAGGAATTCTATAATAATGACGTAAAATTTACTTTCCAATCACGCACAGCGCACTCACCACTTCAGATCTACATAATTTTAAATTTACACAAAGAATCTCATCAGAAGCGTTCGACCAGTCAAACGGTGTACTTACTTTTTATACATAAACGATACGATCATCCGTCCGCAGGCGCACAAGCGAAAATTTAGTATTACAATAATACACACTACGATATTTAGACGTAACACAAATATGTACACGACTCCACGACACTACACGCACACTGCTCACGACGCGTACATCCGCTTGATGTCCTCCTTGTACCGCTCCTGTATGTCTTTCCGTTTGATCTTGAACGCGGCCGTCACCAGTCCCATGTCAGGAGACCATACTTCTGTCACCAGTTTCACCGCTGCAGGTACCTCGAATTTTTCCAAACCGCCTGCAATACAAACGCATATTCAAATGATGTCTATTTTTTATATTCATAAAGCAATCATTTAATACTATGCAACATTACGATAGTATACCAGAGATATAATAAAAAAAGATGGAAAGGCGAGACTTACATTTCCTGGCATGATCAGCGAGTTCCTTGACGACAGCCTTCTCGACGGTGGCGTTCTGGCAGAGTTGGTCGAAGTCCATCTCGGGCAGGCCGAGCCTGGCGCCCAGCTCGGCCAGGTGCTGGGGGTGGGGCACCAGCAGACACACGGTGTAGCACTTGGAACTGTCTCCGTACACACAGATGTTCTCCACGATGGGACAGGTCTTCAGTTCCGCCTCCACTTTGCCCAATGACACGTACTCTCCAGCTTGCAATTTCACCAGATCCTTCTTGCGGTCTGAGGATAAAGAAAGAATTATTTATTTATTGGAGTAACCTTTTGAGTTATGAAGTAACGTAAATAACGAGATCATAATGAACTTTTATGACTAGAGATCTGGAGAAATGAGGTTTGTGACTAGTTCTTACTCACCGATAATTTTAATGCATCCGTCGTGATGTAGTTCTCCGATGTCTCCAGATTTAAACCAGCGCCTGCCCTCGGCGTCAATGAACTCCTCCTTCGTCTTCTCAGGGTTCTTGTAGTAACCTTCCGCTACACAGTCGCCGCCAATCACGATTTCACCCTAGAATTACAAGGTATTGGTTATTGATTATAATACTAACGTTATGATTTCAAAGAAACTGGAAATTAGGTTGGTGTGAAAGTAAACATTAGACTCAGTAGAGCGTGTTAAAGATGGGCAGCGGTATGAAAGTCATAAAAAGTGGTGTGTTTACCTGTGGGTAAGGTTTGTTGTCGACCCTGTAGCCGCCCTCGTCCCAGTCGAGCAGCCTGACGTCGGTGCCGGCGGTGGGCGCGCCGACGCGGCCGGTGGAGCGGTCGTGCGGGTCCATGACGGTGGCGCAGGACGTGGTCTCAGTGAGTCCGTAGCCGGCCACCACGTCGCAGCACAGACAGATGCGCACCTGCGCGTGCGTGTCGGGCGACAGCGGCGCGCCGCCAGAGATCATCATGCGCACGCGCCCGCCCAGCAGCCCGCGGATACGGGAGAACATCTGGGGATTACATATTTCATTTCATTAATTATCTACCACGACATGCAGGAAGTAATAAACTGAAGTCTTCTAAAGGCTCTTGATTCCAACTACCGAGTCAAAATTTTCGATATTCTAAATTTCTCAGACATTATGTAATCTGAAATTGTACCCATTTAAAATACCAACGCTAAACCATTGAACAATTAAGTTCTTGTTTAATAGTACCTATAGTTAACTTTGAAATTGAACATATTAATCTCTATAAATATTATAAACTCACCAATTTGTTAAGAATAGGAGTATCATATCCGCGTCGCATCCAGGTCTGCTTGTACGTGTAGGCCCACTTGAAGAATGCGCTCGCGAACTCTCCGCTGCGAGATACTTTATCCGTGATACCCTTGCTGATGCGGTCCATAATCAACTGGAAAATACAAAAATAATGCTGTCAGTTACAGAATCATAACATTATTAAAAAATCTCAAATCAGACTGGACAATTTCATATTTTACATTTTCTCAATAATAATATTATGATTATTGGAATTTATACAGCAGTATATTAAATGACACATAATTAATTATACATGGTGAAATGAGAACCAAAAAGTTTTAATTTTACTTGCACTTGTTAGTATAGCACTTTTACACAATGGATGAGTATCTGATAACTTACAGGTACAGTAGTGATGCAAGTAGGTTGCAGAATGGTGGCATCTCCCTTGGTGCCCTTCATGATCTTGCTGGATGTGTCCAACATGGTGAGTGGAGTCGAGTAGCCAATGGGGACACCTATAAAACACTTACTTTTAGTCCACATAGTGATTTACACAAAAAATTATTTTCTTTCCAAAATGCATTATATTAAACAAAAAATATAATCGATCTGTCGATTCTGAAGCTATGCGTTAATTTCAAATACCAATTTCTTTTTAAAAAAATCTGGTAACTAAGTAACAATTTATTTATTTATTTATTTATTTAACACTTTATGTACAACTGTATACAATGGCGGACTTAATGCCGAATGGCATTCTCTACCAGCCAACCATAGGGTGATGCAGAGAAGTGTTACAGTAGGTTTCAAAAGAAGTAAAAAAATAAAAACGAGGGTGATAAATGTACGTACATATGTATAAAGGTATCCTAGTACATAAACTACATACTAATACTACATACTAATATGAAACATAAATATAATATGTAAATAATTAAATATATATATAATATAAAAATAAATATATAATGGGTTTATATATTTCATATAATTATATATATAAAGTTTCTGAGGAGGGTGTTAATTGAGACTTGATTGTGTCAGTTTGTTCTGAAGATATTCTTTGACTTTAAATTTAAAGGATAGCCGACTGGAAGCCGTCCTGATATCCGTGGGCAGCGCATTCCACAGTAAGACTGACTGAATGAAAAATGACAATTAGTCACAATCAGTGCTTGTGAAGTGTATCAACATTGTTTATACCACAATAGTGTGACGAGACCGACATATACGTGAAATAAACATGTCATAAATACAGGGTTTATGAGTTTATGTCATGCAGTTAAGATAAACCCACTTTGACATTTATTGGTACTTAACGGATAATGAATGTGTTTAAATCATATGTTTCTCTGATTAAAAATATTTTGTTTGCAAGAAATATAATTTTAACTGTCTTTTACTTGACTAATTTTTGATTGTGACTTTGTTTATGTAAAATAGTTAGTTTTTTTACCGAATTTTAAATGTGCCCTTAAACTAAAATAAGGAATGACCCTAGCTCAATTATCTCTACATCGGAATTTCATTAGAGGTGATAGAAGTGACTAGCAGAAATTAAACCTTCTGTTCAATGGAATAATAGTTGAGTAATGTCCTCACCTCCAATCATGCAAAGGTTCTCAGCAAGCAGTTCAAACACGTGCGCGAGTGGCAGGAATCCCATGAGGATGTCTCCGTCGAAGATAGGCATAGCGTCAGCGAAGGCCTTCAGTGTCGCCAACATGTTGCGGTGAGACAGGATCACTCCCTTCGGCACTCCCGTCGAACCTGACGTGTACATGATGATAGCCGTGTCTGATGGGGATGGTGGGACCGGTTCTGTGGAACGACGAGATTTATGATTAGTTTTGTGTTGAAGACAGCTATAGAAGTTATAAGATTGACGATTACTACTTGTTTAGGTTAGATTAACTTCTGAATCCTACCAAATCTATATTGTAGCAATAAACTCACCAATTTTAGAAGAAGCTCCCTTCGCCACAACATCCTTGTATCCGATAATCTTGATGCCTTGTTTGTATCCGTCCCTGTCAATGCTCTTGAGCTGGTCTTCCATGTAGATGATGGTGTCTACCTTGGGCGTCTTGGCCAGGATCTTCTTGAACTTGGGCAGAAGGTCGTATGTGGTGATCACAGTGGATACATCTGTCTCGTTGATGCCGTGAGCTATCGCATCGTCACCCAGGGTAGCGTAGATTGTTACAACTGAAAACATGAGGTAAGATTAGTCTAAACTCTTGCAAGGGTTATTCACGATTCTGCGTAAAATGTGACAAACTATGATCGTTAAACCATCTTCGGCCTAATACAAGATTTAATACGGACTGAAGATGTTTCTTCGAATTGACGTAAGAAAATGTGATCTGGATACGGTCCTCGTATGAAATTATTTTTAGATTTTAGTTCTTGGAACCAATAATTTAGATCGTGTATGTATGAAAGTGTCAGTCAGTGCCTCACCAGGAATGCTCTGCTTGAAGCAGCCATGCGCGGCGAGCATCCACTCGGCGCGAGTCTCCGCGAACATGACGATGTTGTGTCGCGGCTGGCAGCCGAGCTCGCGCAGGCCGGCGCCGAAGTGACGCGCCTCCTTCTCTACATCCACGTACGTACGCCACACGTATTCGCCCATGTTAAACTGGAACAATTTTTAGATAAATTAGTCTTGTGGAAAAGTGAGTGGTGTATTTTTTTTTGGGACAAGCCCGCCACTACCTCCCAAAACCGCTGCAACTCCTGTAAGGCAGGATCTACAGTAGATACAACCATGAAAACACCGGAACACTGAAGTCCGGCGCGTCCCAGGGACATGAATAACTGTCTTGATTCCCGCAACGAAGTTAATCAGAAGATATTATAAGAGTGCTGTATTTATGTAATGTGGAAGAGGAATGATACAAATAAAAAATGGAGTTTATGAAAGGATGACAATCACATCATTATCACAAACTACACACCAGCGGACGATCATTTCGTAGCAGAAATTGTATTGCACTTTGTCTTAATCATTCTGATTCGTAAATACCTATTTTCCTTCTAATTATGTTCTAACTACTTTATTGTTAAAGCAAAATTGACCTGAATACTCAATCTAAGCAAAATCCAATTCAACCTAAATTACAAAGTCAGGAAATCAGTGCTTTATTATTATGCAATTGCTTTGAAGGGAAAAACAGCAGGTGGTGGCATTATGTGGTTGAATCATTAACCATTTGTGCACCATCACACGCTCAATTTCAAAGTTATTGAAAACCTATCAATGACATCAAATGATATGATTGCTTGATCGACATTAATTTATCCTTATGCTGTTTTCCCCAACAGACACATTGTACTTGGGGGGTAAAATCATTCAATGGTTTCTATGACATAGATTTGACTATGTAGTGTAATTTTAATTAAGTCTATTCTACAAATTAATTTTTAATCTTGTTAACTCAACATACAGAGCGTATTGTGGCGAAGCAAGAAATTTATGTCCAGCTGTGAACCTTGATAAGCTGATTATGTAATAAAGTGAATGTGATCGTCGAGGTATCTATTCTATTGCCTTCTTCTAGCATTGGGGAAATGACTGGGGCAGACCTATGTACAGCAGTGATCTTCTTGTGCTTAATATGTTGGTGAATATAAAGAAGTCCTACCTTCTTGAAGACCCGTCCGTTTGGCTGTGGCTCATCCTCTTCGCTGAGCACGGTACGTGTGCCGAGACAGGGACGGTCGGCCCAGCGCGCGGCCGCGGCCCTCAGCATGCTCTCCATGGAGGTGACGCCATCGCGGACGAGGCGGAGGTGCAGGTCACATGGAGACGACACTGATCGCACTGTTATGCTGTTCTGTGTGGTCTGGATTATACGGGCCTGGAATCAAAATAAGGGAAATTCTAAATATGTAAAGGTAATGAAAAATGAGAGAAAGTCAGTCCTCAGCTTGTGCAATGTACGCTAAACTTGAGTTGGTAATTAACCTGGTTTGTGTGCATTAGCTAATGTGTGACAACAAAAGATAAGTTTGTGTTCCTAATTGCGCGTGTTACGCTAAACATTATTTTTCCGGCTGCATATTTTTCGAGTTAGCTTCAAATTGTTAGCTACAGTTAATATTCATCGATCACTAGCCATAAAATAAAAATCTTTATAGGATTCGGTGTTATTTAGCCCAGACCAGGAACCCGGTTAGAGGATTCATAAAGCATAATATACGCCATCAATCTTAAAGGTCAGTTTCAGCACGAGTTAAGTGCTAAGGCGTAATTTATGCCCATGGAGCATAGTTCACTCTTATTCAAACGTAAATTATAGCCAGCTATTGAATTTCCAACAATTTGTTGTCATTAAGGGAACGATCTTTGATGAATGATATTATGAATATTAATACGCAGCATCTTACTTTACATAATAAACAGCGACAGAAATATTCGCGCAAAACCATTAGGTACGTGTTCAGATTAAAGGATTTTTGTTTGCAAATGCAATTTTGAGCGACCACCAATGCTAACAGACGTGGGAGTCGGGGAATTTGAAAACAGGTCAAACGAAAATAACAACTACAATGGGTTTGTTAGACAATGTCTGCGGTTCGCGTGACATAACGTGGAACATCGCACAGAACACAGAGCACAGCTCACCTGGTCACTGAAGCTACAATAACTTCATTACTACACGATCGAAACTCCAAGATCCCCATTTTGGCAACGACTCAAAAGGTTTTCTAACTCTCCAGGAACGAATAAATCCTAGTCATGATTTAATCAAAGTTTAGACGTCCGAATAATAAAATAATCGCGCGACTCTCGTAATCTTAGAAGTTGTCACAACCCTGAACTTGGCTTGTTCAATTATGAATACAACATGAGAGCAAAATGTCGAGACATTTGGGGTCGCTCGAAGGTCGCGGGCGCTAAACAAAATTTTGGAGAACTAGAACATCACTTAGTATATTTAAGGAACTTAGAACAAACATTATTGCTACCTCTACTGTTACTTCTTTACTTTATGCTCGACTACTTGGATCAGAATCTTCGCTGGTATAGAGTATTTAATAATATCTATGTTTTATGTTCATTCAGATTAATTCGATAGTATTTTGTCTAACTATAATTATTCTCAAAAACAGTAAGTATATTGCGTAAACGAAATCATTATTATTTAGTGTAGCCCATTTAGTCAAAATTTGTCATAGAGAAAGCATTGTCCTTACCTTGATTCGTCTGGAGAGCGCTCGTTTCCTCCACGGCCTCTGGACTATGAGGTGTACTGGGAAGGTGAGGATGTCGAAGACCAACGCGACAGCGCGGATGGTCTTGAGCACTGCTGACACCCACCATGACTCTGGCCTGAAGACAAACGGTACAACCATTAGTACTTGTGTTTCACTGTATTTATACCGAACAAAAAGCCTGCCGATTCGAGAATGCAACTCAGAATGGCAAAATCTCGTAGGTAGCCAAAGGCCGTAGTAAACCGAATAATAATTCAAACAGAAAACGCCCCACGGCCGAAAAAAAAAAAAGGTAGCTATGGCGTCATAGACCCAAAATTTTTTGTTTAAGTTACATATAAGCTGCGTCACTCAGGTCAGACCCCTACTATTTATGGTATGGCAAATCTTTTAGAAAAAACCATTACCTGCTACTTCGACATAAGCGAAAGGCCATATGTCTCATCAAACAGCGAATGAACGTCAAGTATACTGTCAACCTTTGTAACCTCAGACGTGACTCTCATAGGATAATAAATAACAATTCCCTCATTATGGCTAAATAAAAATATATATCTTTATCAGCAGGGCTCAAGGTACACATGTCTGTAATGGTAAAGTTTGCCTTGGTCTTATTTATTCGCAAGCTACTCCGCACTGTCTTCTAGTAATGCTCAATGAAAGATGGCTATAAAATTGTATTTTAACGTTACTTCCTTTATTCAGTTAATTTAATAATAAATATTAACTCAATTTAATAAATTATAAAAGTTATCTTAAATTCAAGTGAGGTCCTACAAAATTTCATTAGTCACTTCTAGCGCATTCACCTTGTACTATATTAAATTTCTGGCGACATACTGTAGCTTCTGCAACATAAATGGTCTTCCTAAATAGAATATGTTTTTGAAGAAACGTCCCTCAAGACATTTTGTACACAAGGACATGAAAAATAATAATTATAGTAGTGTCACAAACTGTGGCTGGTCAATGCAAACAAGGCTTGCTTTACTAAATAACCGTGTAATTCTCGCACTTAAAAATAAATGCAACAGTGCTAGCAGGATAAAATAAAAAGTAGTCAAATTAACGGCAACTAAGAACCTTACTCCATTAAATTAAGGTTGAAGTTCTCAAAATGCAAGTAATTTTAAGGTCAGTCGTGCTAAGAGGCCGGGCGTTTACCATAAAAAGCAACATGTGCAAGGAACAAGCGTCGCTTTTTATAGAGGCGACAGACAGACAGACACCCTTTTAAGTATAAAGACCTTACGCCACCCAAGAGAGAACATTAAGAGTAGTCTGCCTCACTATCTGAGCGTCATCAAAATTATTATAAATCTTGTTCCAAATGGATTGGTCCCACGATGTCTGCGCGACTTGGCGCACTTCATCAAAACCAGCAATTTTATTGATTTAAATAAGAAATTCGCAGTAACAGTCTGAAGTCTGGATCAGTGCCCGGTCTACGACAATCTGCGAAAGAGTTATTCTTTGCATCTTTTTGTTCTACTTTTATAATTCATGATACTATTAAAATATTACAAGTTTAGAGAAAACCATATTATCTAATAAATCTTCGAGCGTTTCGACTGTTATTTAAAATGTTATGATATTTTTTCATTTTGAAATACAAGTACCTCTAGCTAGGAATAATAATATGTTCAAAACGCACCACTAATGGAAAGGTCGAATAGAGCAAAAAACCTAACATTACTTAGAACGCGTAGGAGTAAAATACTAAAGTACACGAGTAGTAACTGAAACCGCTACTCGTGTTATTTACTTATTGCGTAGGAGGAAATAAGGGAGCAGGGTGTTCTTAATGTAACAAATTATATTACAGACTGTTACAAAAAATTGACACTTAAAAATTGAAGAACAAGATAGTATGGAATTAACGAAAAGCTTTTAGACCTGATCATCATAAGTCAGTAACAAAATAAAACAAGTGTAAACAGTCCAATAAATTGTAACCTACATACATTTCCACACAATCAAAGCATTCAATTAGATAAGACAATCACAAACTTTCCTCTCAGCTATACGAGGTCAGTGTCATGCAGCGGATGCAACTGGGGCCGCTGCGTCGCTGGCCATGACCTGCCCCGCGCATGCGTCACCCCTACACCCCCAGTGCACCCACACCGACCCACTACCTACTGAATATGTAAGCGCATGCCTGTTGCAAGCCTAATTACTTTCTGGAAACTAACAACCATTCGAAGGTAAACGAGCCCTGAGGAGCAGATACTTAAACGGGGTTTCACTTAGTGATACGATACGAGCCAAACAAGTTATCAAATCTGAATTTTCTCATACTAATGATGAAAATCTTATCTATAAATAAAGCCACTTGAACAATAACAATAATCGAATTCGATAACAACGAGGTGAGTGTTGAATGTCATGTAGATGTGACATCTACGACGCCTGCAGCCAATGTGTGCTAATCAATTTTACGGTCTTTAGCTCTACGCGTATGGGTCACCAGAGCAAACAGTTCAACAGAATGGTACCTCAAAGATTGCATCACGGACATTTAGAGCACACCAAGAAGAACTGGAGCTAATATTAATAAATACTTGACCAATTAAAAAACGATGTCTAAGATTTGTCTGCATTACATACTGACTGACCTTGCTTAATAGAAACAAATACTACAAAACACGTGTGTTTTACAAACAACATCCTATAAAAAGTCCGATCAAAGATCACTACAGTTAGACAGATCAATAAAAACTTGTTTTCTATAGAACGCAATACCTGAAGGACTCTTCAGACATCTGCGGGACTTACAGCGAGAGCAGTATAATACCCTGAACTTTTAAAAAGATTTTTAATAAGACCTGCTCGAGTCCTCTCATTATGTATACGCACTGGAATGCTAACAAGACTAGTTATCAAGGGCAGACAGGGGCTCAATTCAAAAACAAGGTTAGGGAAGTTTTAAAAGAATACTGGTTTTGAGCAATTATGTTCTCTCAACGGCTTTAGTATAAAATATGATATTTTGTTACGATGCTGTTGTCACTACACCATTTTTATCACTAACACTAACTTTACTCGACTTAGATCGTCGACTACGTTGTATTAACCACAAACTTGCGGTCGGAGAGACCGCTACATCGTAGCACTCTGTTTCATACTCATACACCAGAGGTCATTATGTATTTTATAGGCCATGAGGTCTCCACTACACGGACTTCGTAAGATAGTTGTATTAAGGAAATTTCTAATAGTTCTCGCGAGTAACATAGTTAATTAGGGTATAACAAGTTTATCTTCAGATCTATAGAATGGATGATGAAATATTCAGGTGATTTGCTACAATAAGCGATAAGGATCCACATTAGTGATTACTCAATGGTCTCATGCAATATGGTGGCGCGAGCGCACACGTCATATATCAACCAATCACAGAAGGATACCTCGAATATAAATGAGTATGTTTACTATAAAAAATAGTTTATTTGTGACAACCACACGTATTAACAATGATCATTAGTATATTTGTCGGTTCCAAATTGTGTAATTTACATCAAATATCGAGTTAATAAAAAGGAATTAAGAACAATTAATATCATTTGATATCGGGTTCATTTATAGACAGTCTTAAGAGTGAGCAATACTTTTGATAATGATATAAAATTGGACTTTGGTTGAAGCACTAAAAGATTGATGTCCTGTTGATTACCAAATTGTAAATGATTATAGTTTAGATTGTATTATATGATGTAAGGCAGGGACATTCCCTTGCATGAGGTTGTCAGGTCTTTAAAGGAATGGCAGGCTCACAGGCTGCATGTGCAATGTTCGGTCCGTTATAACTGAATCACTTTCTTGCAATGCGCGCTTGCAACACGATGAAATTCTGCGACTTCACGTATTGAGTAACCGTCAACGTCTCCAATCTTTTACAGTTGTTTTAAATTTATTGGCATGGCAAGTAAGGTGTATTTTTTCTTTAGAATTTAGAAGATTCATTGAACTCAATACTCTTTTAATGAAGTGTTTTGTTGGTATATTCTGTAATACTATATCAAACAAATGTGACATTGTTTACAATGCGGTAGGTGTTATCTGCAATAGTTTCGCACAAGCTGTCCAGCCAATTGTCATGTGTGTTCCATGCCGTGTACCGTGTTACTGTGTTAAATACCTTCACGAACGAAGTCCAGCGATTAGATAGCAACATGTACGCCAATAATGATTTATTTATAGTTTGTATTTCGTATTAATATAACTATGTGATATCAAAGATTTGCGTAAACATTTAGAGATTTTATTATACATATATATCGACGCTTCCTACGCATAAGGTCGTAACGCTAAAAAGTCATTTGTTCAGGAGAGCAGTTTTAGTATACGATAATGATAAAATTTGTTGTGAAAGATTTTTAACAAATATTTTTATACGTACCTAACAATTGTTAGTTAAATAATGCATTCCCAGGGGCTTGATATTATAAGGAATTGTAATTACCGAAAAAAACTAGTTTTTCTAACTTACGACCATATACTTCTTAAAAAAAGGTCGTATCTAAATGTTACGATTGTATGCTTCTGTAAACATGATAAAAGCAACTCGAATAAAGTCGTAAGTTTGAATTACGACCATTTGCGACGTTGAAAGTATTGTATTTCTATAAAAAAGGAGTCGTAATAATGCACTCAATGAATAAAAACCACCTTAAAATTTTAACGTAAATCAATTTTATTACAATAGCTCTCATCATAGGAACATAATTAAGTATTTTTAAGTCAAAGTTACATTATTATAGTGAATAAAACTATTTTAGAACAATAAAGAAATGAAAACAAAATTAAATTTAATTAATTACGTAACGAAAATTTTACTAATTATGAATTAAGAAATGAAAACAAAATTAAATTTTATTAATTTTAAAAATAGAAGGTAGGATATTTGAGACAAACTGACAACTGAATGCATAATACAATACTAAAACTGTATACATCATAGGGGGTAAAAGGAACGCTCTCAAAAAACGCCAACAGGTGACGGTTAAACACAAGTTAAATTTTTATAATAATTGTCTTTTATGTCATAATAGTTACAATCAATAGTTCAAGGCTGATATTCCATGAATAACATGTAAAAAAACCATTAAAACA